TAGGCTGGACATGAAAGTGAGGTCAAGGCAGAGGGATTGAGGGAGAGAGTTCCAGAGTTTTGGGGCATAGTGGCTGAAGGCACGTCCACCGATGGTGGTTCCACCGATGGGTGGTTCCACCGATGGGTGGTTCCACCGATGGGTGGTTCCACCGATGGGTGGTTCCACCGATGGGTGGTTCCACCGATGGGTGGTTCCACCGATGGTGGAAGGCATGAGGGACAATCAGGAGGCCAGAGCCAGTCGAGTAGAGGCAACGAGTGGTGGAGTGGAGGGAAAACAAATTGGACAGGTAGGGAGGTGCGAGGGCATGAAGGGATTTGAAAACGAGTGAGAGGATCTTGAAATCAATCCGTTCGGTAATTGGGAGCCAGTGGAGCCTGGCAAAGACTGATGTGATGGGGTACAGAATTTTGTGCAAATAAGTATCTGGGTGGCGGAATTTTGAATTAATTGTATTGCGTGTATGGTGGAGCTGGGAAGACCAGCGAGGAGGACATTGGAATAGGCCAGCTAGGAAATGATGAAGGTTGCATTGGTTGTGAGGTACGGATAGAGGTGGGCAATGTAGCAGAGTTGGAAAAAAGCTGTCCTGGTCAGGGAACTGATGTAGGATAGAAAGGAAAGCTGGGGATTGAACCTAACACCTAAGTTGAGCACGGATTTGGTGAGTCTGAGGGAGAGCCCGGGGAGGTTGAGAAGTTCATACCCGCAAGAGAGAAGATGTTGATGGGATAACAGCGTCAAGATGAGAGTAATTTATAATTTCTCTGCCTTCTCTTCTCCCAAAGAGAAAAATATTTGCCAATCTCTTGCTTTATGATTCTTGTGCCAATTATAATGGTTATTTGTGGAACAGCTTAATTTAGAAAAAAAAATCCTTGCGTTTGATAAAGTGCCTTTCACATCAGAAGGACATCTAAACCTTCAGTTCATTTTTTTGTAAAGTGCAGTGACTGTATTTTGTATGCGAACACAGCAACCAATTTGCGCACAGCAGGGTCCCACAATCAGACATGAAATGAATGGTTACATTTTTGTGGAGGATTGTTGGCCAGGATACTGGAACAACTCCCTTCTCCTTTTGAAAAATATAATTAGATCTTTAATGTCCACCCAAACAGGCAGATATGGGGCTTGAACCCACAACCTTCTGACTCAGAGGGGATAGTGCTACTACCACTAAGCCAGGCTTCAACAACAACTTGCATTTATATAGCGCCCTTCACTCGGGGTAGTATCTCAGATGCAATAGTGAGTTAGAAGCCTCTTCATCTCTATGTGAAATGATTCCGTTTCTAAGATCACATGCGCAGCACAAAGCTGTCCTTAATTTGGCATTAATTGACAATTTCAATTGGAGAGCATAAGAAAGGAAGTCTGGAGCCATATGGAGGCTATGTTCACCCTATGTTGCTATACGTGATCTAGATTCTGATCTTCTGAGTGTAATAAATGTTCCGTTCCTCAGCAAAATGGCAACAATTTCTTTCCCTCCCCTATACCAATACCACACAAAATATAAGCTCTTGGAGTCAGCACTAAGGGCACGCAATCAACGTGACTGTGACTAAAGCGGAGGGAAGGTTTTCAATGATGATTATGGATAGGAAGAGACTGAAACAAGTGATGTATTGAGATTAATGTCAAGCCTTGGTGAATATGTCCCTGAGAATTGCTTAAGTGCTAAACTGCAATCCACAAGTATTTCAAAGAAAAAATATTCCTTGTGATTAGAACATGATACAATGTCATCACTATGAAATGTACAAGATATTTCTTGAATTTAGTTTGCTTCTCAGAGCTATCCATTCATTAGTCGAAAGAAATGATCTAACTTTGTATAGATCACTGATGCTGCCATATTTGAGCAAGTTTCCTTATTCCACACGCCTGGTAATAATCCCTCAAAAAAAAACAATAATAAATTGGTCACTCCAATCCACAAGTGTTTGTGCGACACTGTTGTGCACAATTGGCTGCTGCATTTCACCCACAAATATACAGTCAATTCACTTTACAGTATATTCTGTGAAGCGCTTTGAGACATCTAGAAGATGTGAAAATAGCTATTCTAAATGCAAGGATTATTATTATTATATTTGGAACACAAGGTATGGTTTACATAGAGCTCCAAGCAAAGATGAAAATAATCCGTCAAATGTAATGATTCTTTGGAGGAGGGGGGGCAGAGGATAGCTAACACTTGGCTATGGAAGAATATTTGGAGAATATCCAGAGATTTTGCTATATCTCTATGAGAATCTATGTAGAATAAAACAAATACAATATGTACCATGTGTCTGTTAACAGAATCATTGATAAAATCATTGAGCCTGTTTATAGGTGTGTACATCATCATAGCATTAGAATAGATGGTTGGTGAGAATGCCTACAGATTTTATAGGTAGTTTGGTATTGGCATTGATTTGATTTGATTATACTTGGGAATATTTATGTCATGGAACTGTTAAAATTTTATTTATTTAATTGGATTTTCCTGTTGTTCTTTTCATTAAAAATGATGGTGTTATCTCACAGCATGTTTATGCCAATACGAAATTGAATGATGCCAATTTACTTAGTGCTACTGGGAGCTGAAAAATATCTGGCAGAGGACAACGATGGAAGTCTGAAACAAAACATTGGGGTCCAATTTCCTTGATTGGAAAAGGATTTGAAACTGGAAAATCCTGTTGGTGCCCAAAAGTATCTCAGGTCAATCCTGCGACCAAAGAAACCTCCAAGAGTAAATTTCCTAGCAGATTCCCAGTACGTCCCAGCATTGGACATCTCAGGCTTTGTTAGTTACAAGTCTTTTTGCTAATTTCACTAAATTACATCCCAAACATTGCTAGTATTGTTTATGGTGAACAGTTATGAAGAGATACAATACAACAAAAAATTACATTTGTAGAGCGCCTTTCACATCGGGAGGACGTCCCAGGGTGCTGGACAGTCAGGGATTTGGGGGGGGGGGGGGGGAGGGGGGTAAGGGAGGGTGGAGGGCAGGGAAGGTAGGAGGGTGGCCGAAGGCACAGTCGAAGAGTAGGGTCTTGAGACATGCCTTGAAGGAGGCAAGGGAAGGAATGAGGAGAAAGGAATGTGGGATGGAATTCCAATGGGTAGGGCTGAAGGCCCAACCGCCTTTAGTGGGGCGGGGGACGTGGGGCAGAAGGGAGCCTGCTGGGCGAAGGGAGCGGACAGCTTGATAAGGAATTAGCAGGTCACTGAGATATAAAGGGGCAAGGCCATGGAGGTCCTTGAAGGCAAGGACGAGGATTTTGAACTCTATCCTCTGAGGGATGGGGAGCCAGTGGAGTCCGGTTGGGGTGATGGGGTCACAGATGTGGGGAGAAAAGACAGTTGAGGGTCAAACAAAAGGCCTAGGTTCCTTACTGCTCAGTGAGATAGCGTATGCATCCTTGGATGGTGTTGCTGCCAGTGCCTGAAGTATGGCGGCGCTGATGGGAGCTAATCAGGAGAGCCTCGGTCTTGTTGATGTTTAACTGTAGAAAGTTAGCTCTCATTCAGGACTTGATGTCTGACAGACACTCTGTCAGCACAGCAGTGGTCCTGGAGTCTAGGGTGGAGGCAGCGAGGTAGAGTTGGGTGTAATCCGCATATATGTAGAAGTTGACCCCATGTCTGCGGATAATGTCACCAAGAGGGAGCACGTACGGGATGAAAGGAGAGAAACAAGGACAGAGCCCTGAGGAACACCACACAAGATGGTGTGGGGGCTGGAGGAGAAGCTGCTTGGAGAGACAAAGTGGAGATGGTGTAAGAGGGAGGATCTGAAACATTCAAGGATAGAACTATGAAGGTAGAGGTGAGAGGAGAGGTGGTATAAGAGGATAGAGTGGTCAACGGTATCAAAGGCAGAAGAGAGGTCAAGGAGGATGAGGAGACGGAGGGACTCCTGGTCACAGACGAACAGAATGTCATTTGTCACTTTGACCAGTGGTGTTTCTGTGCTGTGGGCAGCAAGGAAACCCAATTGGAGGGGTTTGTATAGGCAGTGGCGGGAGAGAAGGAATGAAGCTGGGAAGCAATGACTCATTCCAGGACCTTGGAAAGGAAAGGGAGGTTGGAGATAGGGTGGTAATATGAGAGCAGGGATGGGTTTAGGCGGTTTATTAAGGATAGAGGTAATGATGGCCGTTTTTTTAAGGGAGTGGGAAAGGTGCCGGTGAACAAGGACAGGTTGATGAGGTAGTACCACTCATGCGGATCAGATAGTCTTATTTATATTATTTAAATACATTTTCTATTTATATATTCTGTACATTGTTACTTGGTGGAAAGTATATAATGGAAAGCTTATCTAGTTTGGAATCTGGAAAAGCCACAAAAGTGATATTGAAGCCCAGACTTCTGACAGTGTGAATCAAATTGACATGAAGGAAACTCATCTTTGATTCTTAAAAAAGATTTTTTTTAAAGTAATTGAATTTTTATCTCATTTACTTCACCTCATATTCTTCTTTCTACAGCCAAGAGCAGAGTGGTTCAGATTGTGGGTAACCCCACAGCCAGCATTAATGCTGATCTGCAATTGATAAGCGTACCTCTGCCAGTGAGGACTGATTTAGCGACTTTATCCTAAATCCTTATATGAAAATCTGTGCTGAGAGCAAAACAACATCCAAAAGCTGAGGCTTTCAATTATAAGAGTTGGTTTCTTGTTAAAAAGCCTTACTTCTGCTCTGCTAGATTCATTGGCAATAATAAGTGCACATAGCTTAAAGGCAAGCAAAATCTAATCATTGTTTTAAATTTGGTACTTGAAAAACAAAGTTGTAGAAAGCGAGCAAACTATTTTAATTTTAGCTTGCCCTGAAGTGTGTGGAAATCTGAGTAATTAAATGCACTGTGGATTTCACTGAGATGATAATCTGTTCAACTATGAATTCTTAATGCTTGTGTTTTCAAGTTATGAATAATTTGTAATGATTAAGAAATTCCATTGCTAAAATCTACTGTTTCTGCCTTTCTAGGAAATAGGAAGTTCCAGCCCTCCACAAAGAAACTGGAAAGGGATAGCCATTGCATTGCTGGTGATCCTTGCTGTCTGCTCTCTCATCACCATCTCAGTCATCCTTTTAACTCCAGGTAAACAAAATATGCATTTATATAGTTGCAAACACTAAACAGATAATATACCTCTTTTTAATTCCGCTAGTAAAATCTCAATATTTAACAGGACTAAACAAAAGACATAGATACTCTGCTATGTTTGCTGAACCCTCCCTCAATCCCTGCACCTTGCCCCCTCTCTCCCCACTTTCAAATCCCGCCTAAAGACCTTCCTTTTTGATCGTGCTTACGGTCACCTCCCTCTCCCTCTCCCACTGACTCGGGGTCAGACTCCACTACTGTCAAGTGCTCCAGGACGCTACTCTGTGTGAAGGGCGCTATATAAATGTAAGTTGTTATTATTGCTGTACCGCCTTGGTAGCTTCTTGTGACAATGGATTCCATTTACCACGTGTAACACGATGTATACCTAACAGGAAGCTGAACTCATCTAAAAAAAAGCCCAAATACTTCTCTAATGTATTACATACTTATCGTACATACCCATGCCCCACATCTGTGATTTTTCACAGTAGGGAACATTATAGAATGCATGGCAGTGTAACTACTTGGGTACTATTATGGATTATACTTGTTACTGGAGTGCAATCCCCTGAGGCTGCACCATTAGCTGTGCCATATCACTCACAGATCCCTATATGGCTTTGTCACTATTTTTTGCAATGAATGACTATTGTTTTGCTGCACTGCAAACAGTTGAGTCACAAAATTTGGTACAGACTATTTCAGCCACTAGTTTATCGTTCCCTGTAGCTACTTTTATCGATTCTGAGACGCTCTGTATTCGTTAATTCTTTCCCTGTACAAACCACTGGGATTAAATAAACTTACTCCTGTTTCAATTGATCTATATTCAGGCAATCAATAAGAATTCTCTGCAGTTCAAATGCAAATTGACAACTTCTTCGTTTCCATTTCACCATTGAGACCATTTTAAACTCTGCACCCAAAGTTAATCAGGTCTGGGATCAAATCCACCTAATGAAATACAATTGGATGGGCTTAGATTTTGGATCCAGCTTTAAATGAGTTAAAAATTAACTCTGATCACACTGAGTAAAAATATATTTTACTTTGTAGTTAACATTGGCACAAAAACTGATGCAAGTGGTAACAGATAATTCAATTCTACATTCAAGTTCATTTTATTAATTTTTCATGTGTCACAGATTATGATAAAATGAATATACAACCAACTGACCCAGGATGACATCTAAACTAGCTGCTTAACACCTGCACTTTTAAAATAAATATGCAATTAAAATAATTATATAATATTTATTTAAATACTGTATAATATTTCATAATTAGCATATTTTGAATGGCCAAAAAAAGTGCAGGTGTCAGCATGGTTCAGTTGGTTGCACTCTCACCTACAAGTGAGAAGATTGTAGGTTCAAACCTCATATCAAGACTTTGAACTCACAAAGTCTAGGTTGATACTTCAATGTGATAATTTGTCTACAAAATACTGTACTTTCAAATTACAATAAATCTATTGAAATGCTTTAAGACATCCTCCTGAAGTGAAAGGCAAATGCAATCATCAATTCCTTTCTCTAATTAAGAAAATGGTTTTAATAATGAGTTAAAATGAGCCAATACCAATGGAATCTTTGTTTCATGGGGATTCAGACTTTGACCTTCTGCCTCCTGGTCAAATTTTTCCTTTTTAAAAAAAATGAATGCTGTAGATTTACTGTTAGATTATGTCAGGAGATTTGTGGCATAGGGCAGTGACCCATGTAACACTGAAAAAGCTTTTGCAATTCCATTGCTGCTGCTTCAGGCATCACATAAATGTACTTTTTCATGTCCTTGCCCTTCCACAGTGATGTAGAAATCTCTGTTGTCAACAGGAGAATTAAAATACAACAATGCACAGCATTGTAGATTCTGCCCCTCAACACTATTCAACATTCAGAAACCAGGATCAAACGTATCTCTAATGTATCAGAATCAGAGATTATAATAATAATAATAATAATCCTTGCATCTGATATAGAATCTTATCACATTGTCAAGATATCTCAAAGTGCTTCACGGGATATACTGTAAAATGAAGTGACTATGTGTATTTGTAGGTGAACGCAGCAGGCTAGTTGATTTTAGACATTATCTTAATCTGGAATAATTGAATCACATTTTATAGTGAACCTTATTCCAGTTTGGGATGCACATAATCAAAAAATAAGTATAAGCTTGGAAAAGAGTATGAAAGCATCTTACATGTCTGGGCTTTGATTGTATCAATGGATGGGGAAGCAAACATCCTTTGGATCAACAAGTGTTTGAACAAGTAGCTGATCACTATTGATCTGACTCACACTTTCCATCCAGTATATCCTGGGGGTAAAGACTTTAATTCACTTTAAATAATACTTAAAATGTGTTCAAATTATTCACTGACCAAACTATTATCAAAAAGCTCATTGTGTTAATAGATCATTGTTAACCCCAACCCCCAGCTCGGGTCCACAACTCTGTCTGTCCAGCGCCTTGGAATGGCCTCCCGACGTAAAAGACGCTTTACAAATGTCATTTTGTTGTTGTTGTTATTCAATAAAGAAGTCAAGTTCCCATGTTGAGCCAGTTAGTCATTGGTATACCTAGTGCACCATGATCATACAGATGAGAAAGTCATAGGTTTGAATTACAGTCTGCACTGAATTAGCTGATATCCACAAGGGATTACCCTATCATTAGATAGGGACACTGACATTTCGCTCAGCGACCCTACGTTGGACAATGAATTGGGAGAGGATTGAGCTCAGCTGTGATGCCCTGCAGTTGTACAGCTTGCTGATACACATTCACAAATGGAGAATGAATGAAGCAAGTGGTGCCCTTTGGAACTGAAGCTGGAAATGTCCAGTAAGTTAGTCAGGTCTGAAAGCAAAAGATCAATTCCATCTTACCGTTTTTGGACTTCCTCATCAGAGAACTGAATCTTGGAAGTATAAAAAGGAAATCACCTTTTAATAAATATATATATATATGTACCACTTTCTTTTCTCAATTTAAAGACAGATGAGATCTCAAAATTAAATTAAATTAGCTAATACTGCAGTGGACTCAGACAAGGTCACTTACATCATGTTGTATCTTGCGTTGCTTCAGAGGAGGATGTCATCTGCATGTCCACCTGATGAGTTTATCCTCAGAGGAGATAGCTGATGAATGATTTCAAGCTCCTAGAAACTCTAAAATAATCATGGATGCAATCCGTTAGAAATGGCACAGGCAATTTAACCAAGCTGCTTCTCGTGTTCATTCTGATACTTTAACACAAAACACTTCTGTTGGCACCATGCCCTCACTCTACCCATTGGTTTGCATTCTCCTTGATATTTCTTTAATAGCACTGAGCACATTTCCTTTGAATACCAGACTTCCAGTTGACCTTTTATTGTCAGACCTAGTCTCTCCAGTTCTCAATTAAAGTGACTAATAGCGTACAGCTCAGGTTCACCAATTTAACGCTCAATCCTTCATTCTTTAGTTGAACAGATTTACCTTCACAGACCTTGTGATACTACCCAAGTCTTCTTGTGAACCTCTCTCACATATTAATTGTTTTCATATATAAGAATGCAAAATGATTTAAAAGGGGCTTCACAGAGCAAATCTGTTGACCTAATTGAGTTTTCTTTTGTATATTGGGCATGGGTTAGAGACCAGAATAACACATCGTTATTATTTCATTCTGTTTATGGCCAGTGCATGATAACATTTGTGAGTCATTAGCTGGTTTGTAAAGGTTGATGACACTCCTCATTATTTACTCCTTTTAAAGCATTATATATTTGTGACTGATTGGTCTAGCTGGCCCTGTGTATATAGATGTCCGTGATAGAAGAAACTATCACTTATCATACCTGTACATAAATGCTGCTTCTCTTTCATAGTGTAGTGCTGACCATTTTCATTTCACCCATTATTCTATGTCTCATAAGAAAGGCTCTAGGATGGAATCCACACAAATCCTAGTTTTAACATAAGTAAAAAGGTATTGCAGAACAGTTATGTAAATGTGCAGTGGTGGTTACCAGGTACTATGCTCAGTGCATGTGTTATTGCCTTTAGAGATAGGACAGAGGTTGTGCTTGCGATTTAGCATAATGAGAGCTTCTAACTGTTGTCATATTGTCAAGGGGAGATGCTAGGAAAACACTGAGCATTTAAGCGGGAAAGAAGGAGGAACAGGAAAAATTAGGGAGGGAAGGAAGAAGGCCCCTAGGGCAACTCTTCACACCTCCTACTGGCCAGTCTAAGAATGGCATCAGCAATGCCAGAAGAATAGTTATGGATCCGCCAGCCTTGTCAGCCAAGGAATGTCCATAGTGCTGTGCAAGATAAAGACCAAGAGAATATTTGGGGAATTGGGAAGGAAACATTTGCAGAAATAATTGTTCTATTCCAAACACATTCAGATCCTTCCACATAGAAATATGCAGCACAGAAAACCACCATTTGGCCCTTTATATCTCTGCCATTTCTACTTCTATTTTTTAAGTCACCTTTTTATTATTGACATTTTATTCCTCTTTTCCCTTACCCATTAAAATTTTTACTACTCAAGTTCTTATCCAGTTCCCTTTTGAATATTTTATTAATCCAGCCTCAATAGCTACTTGCAATGATTAATTCAACACTTGAGCTCGGAGTGAAGAAATTCCTTCAAACATCCTTCAAGATTCTTCTGCTATCAGTCCTGAAATGATGCCCTTTGTCACCAATTCCCCAACTAAAGGAAATGTACTTCCCAATTTTACCTTATCATGGCCCCTAAAACCTATGGTTAGAATTATGTTACCCTATTAGACTGGAAGAAAACCTCCATTCAATGATTAATTCATATTAGATTAATTCTCATTTCTAACTTACACCATTCTGCAACCTAGGCTTAGTTATTATGTATCATGCAATAGGATTGTACCTAAATCTGAAGAAATTAAAATTTTGTAATTTTTAGATCTTCCGAGTTGGATTTTGCTGAAAGGGAAGCCTTTTCCAATTCTACAGTAAATTGAAATTACATTAATACTTTGCCTCAACTCTACCTGTACATTTAGGAAAATTGAGTCATGAACAGACAACGTAACACCTGTATTTGTCAGCCATAAAATAATTCACAACGTTCTGTGAATTAAATGCATACAAAGGTACCGAGTGATTTCTCGTTGCAGATTTGTGTTACAGCTGATAAGGCAAGCAAACCATCCTGATGGAATCATCCCTCAACAATACTGAGAAAGAGAACATTTTTAATCAATACGTTCAATATATAATTTAAACAGGAAAATAAAAACGCTGAAGAAATTAAAGGAAAAAATAAGAATTTGTGTCGAAAGCAGATCAGAAAGGAAGGTTAAACACAAACACATTACCACCTTTGATAGTCAATTACGGGTTAATTTACATATTTTAGGGATAAAGCACCCTGTATTCAGACATTGGGTATTGAGGCAGTTTGTACATTATCGCTGAACTGAAAAAAATGATTTCTCTTATCATTGTTTCTTACTTAATTGCTCGCAACAAGGTAAATCGCCCAGTGGTAAATTCACTAAAATTATCTGAAATTCAGCCACTTGACCTAAACAAATGAGTCTTTCCACTAAATTAGTGGAAAGTTCTGTAACTAATGCATTTAATTCTATGATTGCTTGAATTACGAGTTGCTCTCATGAGAAATTTACTATTCTGCATTAAGATTTCTAACTGATCCCTTATAAAATCAGTTAGAAATAATCTAAAGTTCACTGGAACTGAAGAAAGATTTGCTTTTAACAATTAAATTCTGTTAGGATTTTTATTCTAAATTAATAAATGCAGGGATTATTAGTCTTTTTTTGGCTTAATTGACTAATTGTTTACTCCTGTTTGAAACTACTGTTTATCTTTTTCTTCATGATTTTTGTGTCATATTTCAGATGATACTTCGAAAACAGCAGATGCACGTCTGTCCCTGGATGACCTGTTCAGGATGGAGTTCGCTGTTCATGACCCAGAAGTGAAATGGATCAATGGTACGTGTAAATTTAAAGCTTGAATTTTAACGTCTAAATATCAAATATATGATTGAAGAAAAATGGCTAAGGATATATATTAAACAAAAATAATTATTTGGTTTCATTGAAAGAACATGCTGTAAAAATGGAATGGTAGAGAATTTGGTTACAAAAGTAGCAAGTTTTTAACTCTTTTTGGTCAGCCAGGTATATCACACATGTGGAAATCCAAACCAGTGCTTAAGGGTATGCAAACCAGACAGTTTGTTCCATATCTGCATGCCACCTACACATCGAAATTTCTCTTTGTCTCCAATGGAGTTTCCATTTTCTCCCCAAGGGATGCACCTTGCTTATCTAATTCCATAAAGAAGGAAGTGCAAGTTGGTAGGAGCTGAGTATTGGAACCCTAGCCTTGGGGTGTAAGGGAAATTAGCCAGCTAGAACCGCATAGCTTGCCATTACAATTAGTGTCTGGCACACTTCTTGCCATTGCAATCGGGTTAACAAACTGAGTCGAAGAATCCTCCACTCCCCCAACCTACCAATGAGTCAGGTTAGCTGGTTTATCATCAAAAGTACCTCGGAGTCCTGTAGATGAGCTGGACTCAGGAAATGTGCAACTGAGACCGCCACAAGCGATTAACTTGATTCTAATGTTTATTACAAGGGACATCACCTTGCTATTCACAAGGTTTAATTTTAAACTGGTTGCATTCTTTTTCTGAAGCAAAGAGAAAAGTATATGCCAAGTCTTGGTCCTGAAGCAAAAAGGCGTTCACTGTCATGTCAAGAGCTAATCTTACTGCTATATCAATATGTTTCCATGTTAGCTATAGAAACTACTTGGCTTTCAATTTCAGCACAACGTCTCTCTTATTGCCATGCCATAAAAAAAGCAAATGGAATTCCAGATTTTATATGGGGACACTAAATACAAGAGCAAGGAGGTTGAAGGGAAATCTAATAGAGTTTTGGACATTTTGTTTTGCAGTTATGTCTTGGCACCTCTATTTTTTATCTGCTTCTGTATAAGCTTGTACTCTGAACAATGGTCCCCCTTCTCCCTATAAGCTTTGTAAATCTTCTTTACCTCCCTTTGAATTTTCGTGTTGATCCACCTCAGAGCTTTTTTTTCAATGAAAGTTCTCCTGCTGCACTTCGATATGTATTTGTCTTGTAAGCTCTGCATAATTTTTTGGAAGTGTACAATTTATTCTCAAACAGTTTATCCTTGAGCAGTTTTTTTAACCCAAGTCTACTCTAGTCCTGATGGGCAGTTTGCCCACCCACAGCTGTTTAGTTAGATTTAAAATGGAGTCCTGTAGCTCTAGTGGTTAGAGCACATGCCTTGCAAGCGAGAGGGCCTGGGTTCGATTCCCAGGCAGGTCGAAACGCTGGGCAAGTTTCCTTACTCCACATGCCTCTGTTTACCTAGTAGTAAGTAGAAACGCGCTTGTCATTCGATTGGTGGATTGCTTTTCTGGGGGTAATAATCCCTTCATAAATAAAATAAATAATGTAATAATAATAATCCTTGCATTTGACATAGCGCCTTATCACGGCTTCAAGATGTTTCAAAGAGCTTCACAGAATATACTGTAAAGTGAATTGACTCTATACTTGTGGGCGAAACATGGCAGCCAATTACGCACAGTAGTGTCCCACAAACAGTAGTGGATTGAAGTCACCAATTTTATTATTATTTTTTTTCTTGAGGGATTATTATCAGGCATGTGGAGTAAGGACTGTGCGCTAACCACTGAGCTACAGGACTCCTGTAAATAAATGCTAATAATAATTTGATCACTCAGTCCACGACTGTTTGTGGGGCACTGCTGCTCAATTGGCTGTCACATACCGCCCACAAAATATACAGTCAATTCACATTAAAGTATATTCTGTGAAGCACTTTGAAACATCTCAAAGATGTGGTAAGTCGCTATATTAAATGTAAAGAGTATTATTATTATTTGCTTACATGCTAGTTTGTAGCCAATATAAACTAAAAGGTGCAAAATGAACTTGGTTCCTTCAATCCGATTTTTCCATTTAAAGCACAAACAAGAACAAACAAACATCTCAATGGATCGGAGACCAAACATTGCCTTTCTGAGATGCCTCATATGCAATCCTTTAGGGGAGGTGACATCTTCTGGGCAGTTAGTCATAGTCAGTAAAATCAGTTTGCTGTGGATTATAATCATTATAATTGCTGAGGTAAGTAAATAGACAGGAAGCATCTTGTGAGATCAGTGGTTATGTGCATGAGTTCTATTCATTTAAGTAGCAAAACACTATTTATTGTATTCCACTGACATTCTGACAGTAGATGAGGCTTCTTCTAATGATATCATCAAATAAATAATACAAACCATTGTTTGGGTCAATAATGATTAAAATGAAAGTAATTGTAATTGTGCAATATTGAGCATATTGCATAAATACAGCTGATCTGCCACTCTCAGTATTTCAAATGGACGAACCATTTGCTTGCTCAAGGATTAATGAATGATTAGCTCAATGATAAATGAACCACTTTCCCCAATTGTTTGGAATCTGTTTCTCAACAATGGTTTCAACTGATGGAATCACCTAGTCTGTGACATAATAAATATCATTCATTCATTCATTCATTAATATGTCATTATTCAGGCACCTAGCATTGTTTTCACCTTACTGGGTCCCTCATCTAATAAATTAGATTAATTGATCGATTTAATATGTCATCCAGTATGGACATAACAATTAATACAGATTTGTTTTCATTGGTTGAGCATCACACACCCACACATATGTTCTTGGTGAATTTGTTTCTATATTTAAGTCTGTCAGTTGATCCTGCTCATTTGGCTGGGCGAGGGCATAATCAACCTTTACAACATAAAACATCCAGTTTCTGCCCCATAATTATAATCTTCCATGCAGCATCTCACCATGTTATTTGTTGTTGAATGTAACCAGTCTGCTCTGGTTTGTATTCAGCAGTGACTATTTGCAAGACTATTTGGGCATTTCTCAGCCGTGAAACATTCTGAAAGCAAAATACCAGTCCTGATTTATGTCTTTGCATGTGTTCAGCCAAGATGTATGCCCTATTGCTCTTTCTTTATCAGATTTTGTGGCATTTTCAACAAAAGAACCACATGAATGTAATGACAGTACAGTAAAACAGGTAGAAAATAAATTCTAGTCACAAAGCTTGCATTTCTCAAGATGAAGGTATCTTTTCATTATCTGTTTTGAGTGAATTATGATTTCAATTAATTCTACTTGTAACAAATTAGTTATTATTGTCTTTAATTTGAAGTTTATTGGTGTGGACATTTATTGCTTTGGAGGCTTAATATGCAATCTTTACTGTGCCTTTTAGAAAGAGGATCAAATGTTTAAATAGGTCAAATCTGTGGCAACTTAATATCCAAGAGACAATAGTTTTGACTTCCCATGAATGACATCTTTAGGTGGTATCTTGCTTGTTTTGTTATGAGAAATCTTGGTGAAGGGCTATAGTGCAAAACACAACAAAGATTGAGATGATTTAAGTAGTGATGGTGCACACATCTTACATATATACTGAAACTAGTAAGAGGATAAGATCTACTTCGCCTTCCACCTTCCTGCCGGTCGCATGCCAGATGTACCAAACTACCTATGTGCTATATCCCATAATGCTATTTCCTAAAAGAAAACTATCTAATCTGTGTTTGAAGGAATCAACACTTCCTGCTTCAACCGTTTCCCTGGGGAGCCTGTTGCACACCCTCCCCGACCCCATCCCAACATCTAGTTTGCTTTACTCACTGCCACAGAGCATTGTTGTGAGAACTTCAATTTATTGTCAATCAGGACCCAGACGTCCTTTTCATTTTCCATACATATTACTTTTCTTCTGTTCAAATAATAGTCCTTTCCTGGATTTTTTGTCCCCATGTGAAGTACTTTACATTTCTCCAAATTGAATTTATCTGCCACTGATCTGCCCGATTCCCAAGTATGTTTAAATCCTCCTGTAACCTATCTTGTTCAGCTTTGCAATCTATGACCTTCATTAGCTTGGTGTCATCTGCAAATTTAGCCAGATGACATTAAGCTAACTGTGCTTGCAACTCCTAGTTCCAGTTCATTTATAAAAATATTAAACCAAAGAGATCCTAATAGCAACAGAGATATTTCATTTCACTGACGACACGTTTGTATCACTGAAAAGGTCCATTATCTCTTGCAGTACTTTCACAGTATTCAGCAGACTTGTAAAATCATTTCACAGATTAAAGATTTAAAATTTCCATGAAAAGGTCAAAATTTAAAACATAAATTGTATTTTATACAAAAAGTAGCAAAACAGGCTCCGTGAAATGGTTATATTGAACACTTTATTCTTTGCTCTGTTAGCACATTATCAGAAAGATTTCACCCGATCTTCTGATGTGCTCTGCGGCATGAGGATCCTGCCATACTAGACCACATCTGACACTTATAAAGAAGATGCACTTCAGGCACCCCAGGGAGATTTGCAAGTAGTGTAAGTGGGTTATGTTTGAAATGATGAACTGCTGTTCCAAATAAAAGTAGAAAGTATTATGATGTTTTAATCTAATATTAGATTTAGATACAGGTCTGATGTCCCCCTCACCCTGCACCAGCACAATTCGACGTGCAAAGTGACAGACACAAACTAATATATATTTATACACAAACCTCCCTCCTGCACAAACACCCCCTTCATGAACAGCACAATACATAATGCAATTTGTTAGTGTTGAAGAGATATGTCTGCATAAGCATAAAACGATTTCTCCCGAGGTCCAGACTCACAATCTTATATTTTATAAATGAAAAATGTCCTATAAGCTGTGCAGATTTCTAGTTTCATTATTTATCCAGGTTATAGAACATCCTGTGCAAATGCTGATGACTACTCCAACATTATCACTTACAGTAATTATGACTTGGCTATACCTCTTCCAAATAGAGTAAAAGCTCTGCCCTCCACACTGACTATCAAGCTAGTGAAG